AAGCAACTTAGTGACCAGAGACCGTAGAAAGTGGATTAAATTCTGTCACTTAAGCAACTACGTGCCACGTGCTGCTGACGTGAAGTGGATACACTTCACAAGTGAAGCTAATGTATGGATAAATTCAAATTGTTAATTTCTGTTAAATTTCACAGTAAAGTCATTATTTTACATATACTTTACTACTTTAGCTTTTGTATGTGGGTTTGGGGATTTATTTTATATAGCTTTTTTTTTTAGTGTTTATCAGTTGTTTGAGACAAACAACTTTTTGTTGTTTGTCTCAGAAAAACAAGCTTTTCTGTCCCCCACTCGTTACCTGTATGAATGGCACCTGTTTGAACTCATCATCTGTATAAAAGACACCTGTCCACAGCCTCAAACAGTCAGACTCCAAACTCCGCCATGGCCAAGACCAAAGAGCTTTCGAAGGACACCAGGAAAAGTATTGTAGACCTGCACCAGACTGGGAAGAGTGAATCTACAATAGGCAAGCAGCTTGGTGTGAAAAAATCAACTGTGGGAGCAATCATCAGAAAATGGAAGACATACAAGACCACTGATAATCTCCCTCGATCTGGGGCTCCACGCAAGATCTCATCCCGTGGGGTCAAAATGATCATGAGAACGGTGAGCAAAGATCCCAGAACCACACGGGGGGACCTGGTGAATGACCTGCAGAGAGCTGGGACCAAAGTAACAAAGGTCACCATCAGTAACACACTACAACGGCAGGGAATCAAATCCCGCAGTGCCAGACGTGTTCCGCTGCTGAAGCCAGTGCATGTCCAGGCCCGTCTGAAGTTTGCCAGAGAGCACATGGATGATACAGCAGAGGATTGGGAGAATGTCATGTGGTCAGATGAAACCAAAGTAGAACTTTTTGGTATAAACTCAACTCGTCGTGTTTGGAGGAAGAAGAATACTGAGTTGCATCCCAAGAACACCATACCTACTGTGAAGCATGGGGGTGGAAACATCATGCTATGGGGCTGTTTTTCTGCCAAGGGGACAGGACGACTGATCCGTGTTAAGGACAGAATGAATGGGGCCATGTATCGTGAGATTTTGAGCCAAAACCTCCTTCCATCAGTGAGAACTTTGAAGATGAAACGAGGCTGGGTCTTCCAACATGACAATGATCCAAAAGCACACCGCCCGGGCAACAAAGGAGTGGCTCCGTAAGAAGCATTTGAAAGTCCTGGAGTGGCCTAGCCAGTCTCCAGACCTCAACCCCATAGAAAATCTGTGGCGGGAGTTGAAAGTCCGTGTTGCTCGGCGACAGCCCCAAAACATCACTGCTCTCGAGAAGATCTGCATGGAGGAATGGGCCAAAATACCAGCTACTGTGTGTGCAAACCTGGTAAAGACCTATAGTAAACGTTTGACCTCTGTTATTGCCAACAAAGGTTATGTTACAAAGTATTGAGTTGTATTTTTGTTATTGACCAAATACTTATTTTCCACCCTGATTTACGAATAAATTCTTTACAAATCCTACCATGTGGATTCATGGATTTTTTTTTCACATTCTGTCTCTCACAGTTGAAGTGTACCTCTGGTGCAAATTACTGACCTCTGTCATCATTTTAAGTGGGGGAACTTGCACAATCGGTGGCTGACTAAATACTTTTTTGCCCCACTGTAATCAAGAAGCTAAGAATATTGAGGCTTAGTCTATGTGATAGTCACTCACAAGAACTCTGCCTTCATGACAAAACGTCACCATTGTTTTTGTTCAAATGCTTCAAATGACCTGTGTTTACATTTTCCGAACAAGTGACCTTTTGTGTCTTGAGTGACTCACCTCTGCCACAAGCAACAGTGGAAGGATGGGAGGTTTGATAATGTCACAACACTTAGGAGGGAGGTAGTTCTGAATACAAAGTGGCAGACTTTGACTTGCATTGTTTACTCCAAACAGTCAGCATGCCTTTGTTTTTTTCTTTTGATTCTTGCAAGTTTTTTAGCCAGCAAACGTACTCATTCCCTAACATTAAAACTATTTAATTCCTATACCTTAAACCAGATGGCAGATCTGAAAACACTCCTATCATGCATACAGTCGCAAAAAACAGTCACAGCTGTTTCTTATTTTATTTTTATTTTCTTTTTAGGTTTCCACAAAATGTGTTCTCTTTGTTCAGATATCATAGAAACATCTCAGTTGTAATCACGGGACGTTTGGAGCTATAGACAGGTAAAATAAACTCTACAGGTGAACTTCTGGGCAAAAGCTGGTAAGTAAATGTTGATTTTGAATGTTTTTTGTCAAAGTACTATTTTTAAAGTAAAACTTTTTTTTCTTTACATATTAGCATGGGTGAGTCCCTGTGCAAAGATGTATAAGACCCTCTTTCTGCAGCAATGCAAGACCTACAGACCAAAAAAGAGACAGACCACAAACTATGCACCTATCATGGTCTGTCTCCAGAATTACACCCCCTGAGCTATTTTGAGTAATATTATGTGTGTTTGTGGGGATTTTATGTCGATTTCGTTTTTTGTAGCTGTTTTGCACCTCTGTCTACAATCCATCTATGCTTTTTCTCCAACTTACAAAATTCTGGGTCACGGGGTGCAAGACGTCTTACACCATGGACAGGACGGCAATTTATCATCTATTTCTTATTACTTTTTTATTACTTTGTTTTACTCTGTAGCCTGTGTTTCTTGTAGTTTTTGCTTCTTCTTGTGGTCCTTCTGCAACTCATTTCACTTCCTTTGTGTGTCTTTGCTATCGTTTTGTTGTCATTTTTCATTTCATTTTGATTGATTTCTGTCTCCTGCTGCTTTGTAATACAATACACTTTCTCTGATAAGCCCATTAAACATTTCATTTTAATACATGATAGCTGGTCCTGAGTCACAACCTAATAAATTGCTGCTGATTTTTTTTTGTTTTGTAGCACCAGACTTATTCATTGAAATCTATTATTATTCCTTTCCCTCCTCCCAGAAACAGACCATGTGTCACTTATGTGTGAGGATAGTTTACCGGAGAGACACTGGCCATGTATTTTTTTTAGCACCCAAGCAGAAAGTGAGAAAGTTTTTGTGTGCATGCTGGGTGAGCAGATGTCACTAAAATCAATAAACCAGCAAGTGCTGACTTCTTTTCTGTGTTTTACAGTACATCCGTAATTTCAAATCCTTCTTCAGTTCAATAAGTAATCACTAGCTTATTATAAGCTTACTTATTCACTGAAGACTGAAGGATTGGTGACTCAAAGGCACGTGCAGTTCTCATAATAGCATGGATACGTCAGAAATATGTGCTTGCAAAACAGAATAAATAAATACAGTAGTTAGGTGGCTAGATGATAAATCAATAGAACTTTAAACCCATGACATTCACTTTGCAAGTTTACTGACAATTTAATAATGGAAATATTCCAACAAAAAGAACATGCTGGAACAATAATTTGCTTATTAGGTCCAGCTGTCCTTCCCTACTACAAGAAAAGACAAACTCAAGTGAAATAGAAGTGTTACAATTCCAGGCACTGATGACAGAGAGCCATCATTCCATTTCCTGAGATCATTTTTTCTCCACAGAACTGAACTTTTCTTGCACTGAAACAACCCAGAAAATATCTTATTCCCTGGACAGTTTCTAATGTGCTGAACTGTAGACTGGTCTGAGACACAGCCAAGGTTTCTACTGGTGCTGTTTCTTTCTTTGTCTGTTCAGTCATGAAGACTAATGTTACAGCGCTGCACAGTTCCTTCGCTGACTGTTCCCACTGCTGTATCAAGGAAATGTGCACCAGTCCTTTTGTGTGCGAAGCACCAAACATGCACCAGATGTTTACATTGCCAAATGCGGAAACATTTGTTTATTGTTTGCATTTCTGTTGCGCTTCTCTGATATGTGAGTATGTAGAAGTGGCATAGATTGCTACCTGCAACATTATTTTCCAGAGATGCTGTCCATTGAAAATCGTTCACAATGAGCTACAGTGCATTTTAAAAGTAGCCACTGATGCACAAAAAGGATAAAAAACGGTGGTGTGGTATGCTAGGATCATAATATACCAGCAGCAGCCTGCAGTGTGGCACACACATGAAGTAAGAATGGAATGTCGTCTCACTTTAAGCGTGCATCAAAAAGGGGGAATTTAAAACATCTAGAAAGTAAGCTAAACAATAGACTAAACAGAAAAAATATAAGAATAACAAATCAAGGAAAAGCTCAAATCACTGCATTTGTATATCTACTGATATCCTATAAACATAGCACACATATAGGTATCATAGTTGCAGTACAACATCAAGTTATTTAAAGCCAGAAAGGCTTGGCATAAGACCCCAAAGGCAAACCCTCTTGACATTGTTGTGTCTTCACTTATAAGCTGATGCAGGACATGACACCACAGACTGAATGTGGACAGTTGTGAAGGATGTACACTAGTTCTTTAAGTAGGAGGGCAAGATATAAAATTCAAAAATGTACTAAAATATTATGAACATCACCATTATTAGTAGTAATAATATATGCTTTTCTTTACTGTGCCACCAATTTAAAGCATTGTAGGATAGTTTAGACTTTTACACATATACATACTTGAATGCATGTTCTTTACATTTTCACTTTAGTTTAAAACCTAAGTATCTAAAAGAAAAAATAATAATAATGTTTTTTCTGTTTCCCACTTTACATGGTCTGGAACAAAAAAGGAAATAAAGAACTAAGAAATAACCAAATCTGCTCATTTGCGGTTTGTCACATTTAATTCAGTATAAACAGAATTTTATGGAGCAGCAATAAGGTGATAATGAATGGAGTTTAATTAATGGAATATGTAGCACCGTTAATGCATTACTTTATGGTTGATATATGAGTCTGCGTGTGTATAAATATAAATACACATACGTGTGTGTCTCTGTGTGAGTAAGTGAGAGAGTGGGGCAGCCATAAGACCCGTCTCTCTCGCTCTCTTTCTCTCTCTGCCCCCCCCTCTCTCTCTCTCTTTCGCGCGCTTCGCTTTCTCTCCCGTTTTAGTCAAGGACAGTTTCGCTTGGCACGGAGGCACTAAACCGCTCCACATCCACTCTGTCGGTGTGCGCTCGTTCTCTTGCCTATACTGCCTACTACGGGATACTTGTGATTGGTTCACCCCCTCCTCTCCTCCCTCCCTCCCCTGTGATTGTATGTAAATCCGGTCAGGACTGAGCCAGTAGGTGAGGTTGGGGCTGGTGGCTCCTACCTCAGTGGCGCACACGAGACCCGAAAGCGGCCGAGGTGAGATCGCTGCGCCGTCGGAGCTGTCCACTCTGTCGTGGTGCTGAACTCTACACCCTCCTCTCGCCTTCTCCTTCCTCCGTCGGCTCTACTGTACTTGGTGTTATTTTGGGAAAGGATTAACAATCTGCCCTTTGGCTGCTTAGAGGTGCAAACTTCTACGGAGCATAGCTCTCTGCCCACATCGGAAATTACCCCCAGACCGTCCGTGGATTTGACCCGACCTCGAGATTATCATTAATTGGTCCTTACTTTGTTGAGAAGTGTTGCTTAAATCCGTTCACCGCAACTGTTGTTCGGATTACCCTCCTGGATGGTTAACGTCTGGATTCACAGGTAAGAAAATGTGTGTTTGTGTGTTTTATATGCTGTTGTGGACTAATTGTTAAAGCCCATCCGATCTGAGCGCCTTCCCGAGGAAGTCCTCATTCATCTCTGTGTGACTCGCTATCAGACACACAGCTTAACCCCCATCATCGGTGAGGCGCCACAACTCTTTTCTAATAATCCACCGGGTCAGTCTCCCCGACTCAGAAAATATCTCTCAATCTACTGCCTTAAGCTTTTACCATTTTCAATTTACTTTCAGCCAGGTCCCGGAGACTCAAATCAGCTGATATCCGGATATCTGAAGTTGAGATTATAGTTGCTGTTATGCTGTCAGAGTGAGAGCACTGAAGCACAAACATTCCCCATTGTAACACAATCAATGTTTCTGAAACGATTGCAGGCACGCCGCCTTGCCCAGAGCTTTTAATTTATCCGCGTAGTACTTAGCGTGTTATTTTTTTCCCCCTTGGCACGCTAATCCTTGAGTGACACCGTTAGCAGCGAAGGGATTATACATTTGTTTTTCATCCTCTGCTTTGCGCCTGACTCATTTGGCAGTACTATATTACGGGCTCTTGTGCCGGGGATGGCCGTTAACTGTGTTGTCTGTCGATTTGCGAAAGAAAATATTTGGGGGTCATTGTTTTAATCTCTGCTGCGGTGCATCAGACGGACTTAAAGGTAGCCCAGCAGAAAACCAGATTAAGTTCTTCAATCGATACGACTTAGATTTTACATGTTAAATCCACTACACGAGGTTACTGTTGCAGGACGTGGGAGCGTCATCATTATTTTTTTGTTTTTTGTGTGGAAAAGTAGGACTCGTGCACATTAATATACAACAGAATTTGTCATGTTTCAAATTAATTTAATAATATATTCTGTGGATAAAAGCACATTCTTTTGAAGTTCATGTTTCAGATGACAATATAATTGGAAATCTTACAGGTTTACTTATGTTTTAAACACATTTATGCATCAGCATTCGACACTTTAATAAGAGTTTTAGTTTTAGTGTTTTTTTCTTAGTGTTTTCTTGCCTTTAAATGATCCAAATACCTCTATCTGCACAGATTATACAAAAACTAGGCTAACTCTTCAATTTTTACCTTTATTATTCTTTTCTTTTTTGATTTGTGGACAAGACTGAATCCTGATTCACCCAGTGACAACTTTACTTGGTTACAGTAAGTGCAGTATGCACATCAAAGGGACCAGACAGAGGATGTCTTCATAAATACTTTAAATTCTTGGTGTTTGGTCCTTCCCACACAATGTTGACATACTTTGTAATTCATAAGGTGCACAGATGATGCCAATCCCAGCACATTCCTTGACTAATTGCACCATCAAGTAAAAATCTTGTGTAGAAAGTACAAATGCTACAGAAGCCATGCAGTTTGAACGTTCAGCCATCTGCAGGCCTCTACGATCAAACTTCAAACACTCCATTCCCGCAATGCATCCACTTTATCTTTCGAAGCTCTTTGAAACCGCAAGATAGAATCTATTTCCAATGGTGCATTAGATGGATCTGTGAATCTGGTTTTCAAGGCTGCACTCACTAATTGATTCTCCACTTGAATACAAGCCAGGAACCAAGTAATGTATCATTTATGTAAGTTATATATTATATATACTGTGCAGAATGAAGTGAGGATATTTGATAAACCAGTCTTAATAAATAAGAGTCAGCTGTAGAGGGAAGCGGAAAGTGAGATAAGACAATGCTCATTTTTAGAATGACTCTGTAGACTTTGTGCACTGAATGATGCCAATAATATCAGTGCACATTAATGTTCAAGATGACAAAGCTAAATAGCCGTATAAAACATTCTTTTTCTCCACCACACTAAGACCAGAAAAGTCTTTCTATTTCTTCTTTGGACTCCAATTAAGCCATTTAACAAAAGATATACTGTAGGTGGCAGCTGAGCAGGTATAGTGTTAATGGAGCTGCTCTGCTTTTCATTAAAACGACTTTCTTTTGGGCACAGTAGGGAGGCAAAGGCTTTTGAGTCAATAATGCTTTTGACTAGAAGGAAGAATAAAATGCTAGGAAACTGATCAAGGCATTTCAGCTTTGAGAGGAAAAGCACACAATCTGAAGGTGTGAGCACCCACTGATGGTGGCTAGTTGCAGGGGGCAGATTTGGGGTGATATGACAATAAAGCTGTATGTTGGGAAGGAAAATTGCGCTGCCACTGAAAATGGTACCATTTTAGAGTTTTCACCGTGATCTCAGGTGTCCAGGCATCGCAGCAGGTTCAAAAATCTTTAGCAATTATCCTCTGAGATGTCTTTATGGGCTATTTTAGAGAGGTAAATGGTCTTTGAAAGCAGATTTTATTCTGAGAGAAGTACTCTTGTGTCTTTCTGTGCACATGTCAGATACAACTGTTCATGCTGCAGCCAGGTCAGTTCGAGTAGGTTTTCCCATTAAACCAATAATGGTCTGCTCTGGCCTCTTTTGAAAACTGTACAAGACACTGATCAAATGTGGGGGATAAAAACTGTAACACTACCAGTTTCCCGTGTTGAGGTTTCTAACATGTGACCTGAGCATGTGTCACAAGACAACATACTTGCTGTGCCGGTAAAGCTGCTTTAATGGGTTTATACAGTGAACGATGTGTTCGAGTCCCTTGCAGATGGAGGTGTACACACAACCTTTCAACTCTCAGAATTTAACACCATGCTTGATAAACACTTTTTCAAAGCTCCGTTTGATATCTAAAAGGTCTGTTCACCCAAAAGACATCAAAAGAAATGTTCTTGGTATCCAGTCACGCAGATTGTTTTCTTTGCTTTTGAAAAGGTTTAAGAGATAAATGCCTCTTAAACTTCTGCCTCTGCCCAAATATAATGAATATAAATAAATATGAATGTATCTGTGCTAGTTTGAGCCCATTCTATAACTCTTATATGGACTGTTTCTGGTTTTTGGCAGAAACTGGTTCATCTAAAGGGCAGAACATTATTCTTAGAAGTACATGTTTATGTTGATTTAAAGGGGAGCTTTTACGCTTTACCAAGTGAAGCCAAAAGCTGCTCTAAACACTGCCTCTCAGACAGTTTCTTCTGCTCTTGGTCCTGTATGGTGTCAATTTGAGAGGATATCCCTAAACGGTCAGCTCTTTCTGTAAGCACAGAAGCCCCGCCCACCTGCTGTTCACATCTCATGTTTACGAGGGGCAGCCAATAAAAATAAAAATGAGCTAGTCTGAGATAAAGAGCGAACTGACAGGGATCTTGAACCGTGAATCTAGCAACACTACCTAAACAGAGTTGAAGAATAAAATTAAGGAGCTTAAAATGAGAATAAAAGATCCCCTTTAAACATTTTAGTTCCATAAGCTTTGCAAAATAACTCTAATTCACCTTGGGCAAATAGAAACGAATCAGTGGAGCTAAAGTAAATGAGAAAATATATTTTAGAATTAGCTGAACCAGATAAAGAAAGTTCAGTGCTCAAGATATACTCTCATACTTTTTTGTTTTTACAACCATTTGAAGAAATGTTTTGACTGTGGAACCAAATTTATGGTTGACTAAATTAATTTAGTCAACCATAAAGTCGGGAGGTGAGGGAAAACATGAAGCAGATGTTTTTCAAAGCTTAAAAATGTACCTGCTAACACAAATCAGCAGATTTCTTAGCTAATTTGTTCATCTGATCCTTGGCTTTCCATCTAATATACGAAGCAACATTTTGCCTGTCACTATCAGTGCATCTTCACTCTTGAAATGGCAGCCACATTGTGACAACAAGACTAAGAAGTCACTACAAACAGCTGTTGATGGCCAAGAAATGTCTCTAGCACATCCTGTGCAACACCAAAAATTCATTTAGTTTTTCAGTATTTGCAGAGTTATTTTAGTATAGCCAGATAGTTAGCGTGGTTTAGCAATACTAGCAGATGCAATTTTGAACTTTGAAAAGAGCTAGCAGCTTCTTCCTGCCTGCCAAGCTCAATGTTTACAGTGCAGACATAATAGTGGCATCAGTCTTCAAATTTCACTCTTGGCAAGAAAATAAGCACAATCCCAAAATATCTCTCTATTCCTTCAGTTTGAATTCTGTTATTTGTTGAAAGATGCCACCTGTACTGACTGAATTTATCAGCAACAGACTGTTCCTAAGTAATGCCTGGTTTCACAGTCATAATGACACTGTGTATATTCTCACCTGAAAGTTACCCTTTACGGGCACGGTGACTCCACTGGAGCAGTTTGGAGAGTAAAAGCACTTTTAAATTGGGTGTTAATAGGGTGTTTATTTCCAGAAATCACCTTTAGTAGTTTTTCCCTTGTTAGTCTGGGTTTGACCAGCAGTATGGGTATTGTCTGCCTACCTGTTTTTAACAATCATAATGTGGGCTATTTTAAATACAAGGGGCGGCAGTTGAGAAAAAACTGATTAAAGATGGTGAAAAAAACTGAGATTAAATCTACATTTCAAGTGTTTTCAGTGTATATTTTCATATAAAAATTGTTTGTTTTTATGTTTCATGACTTAATAGCCCAACCCATCTCAACAATGACACTTGTAACACTGCTCCCCCCCTTTTACATCTCTTTTCTTCCCACTCTGAGCTAAGCTTTAACCACTGCCAACTCCCATCTGTGTCTCTGTGTCTGTCTTTGTTGTTCCCCTCTTTAATACGTGGAATCTTTATTGTGCAGAAGACCCACACAGACTGACGTATGTTATTCTGCTAACATGTTTAGGAGACGCAACCTGCTCCTGACATTCTTTTCTCCTGGCAAGCAGCGGTTTGTTTGATGATGTGAAAAATATTTTTTCCCCCTCCGTTGTGCACGTTGCCTCTCTCTTTTATAGGACTTCACCATTGCATGAAAAGATACAAACAAACAAACAGAAAACCTATTATTATCACATGTAGCTTTTACAGATGAAAACGGCTATAATGTAATTTTGATTACTATTTGCATTTAGCTTGCTGTAATGATGTGAGAGGATCCCTGCTCTGTGTGCAGTGAA